TGAGAAGCCCCAGCGCAACTCCAAATCTGAGAAGCCCCAGCGCAACTGCAAGTCTTTCTATGAGTCCTGGGACTTCTTTGAGCAGGAGCAGCTCCAGCTTGGGAGAGGCAATGTTTACTAGGCTGGTTACACTTCTAGAGGAGGTTAGAGAAACACAAAAACTGCACGGACAGTTGTTGAGTACCTTGTTGAAACAGAAATCTGCTTCACCACCGGTTGAACCACCTGAAGGAGCTGTTTTTCCTTTGAGTACAATCAATGACGTCCTGGGCATGAATGAAAAGCTGGGTGACTCAGACTTCATGTCTGGAGTTGTAAGTTAAAATTTTGTTCCTTAAAAATTAGCATTAAATTAGCCCCATTGCAGTAAGCAATTAACTAATGACATGATAAATTAAAGCAAATTCCCATCATTTATCATTTTTCTGTTTCTACTAAAAACTGCTTGACAAGTATTCAGTCTGGTGTTTAGGTCTCAACTTACCTTTTTTTTTTTTGAAGTACACATTTGTTTACAAAGACTTCATAATTGGATATTTAAATTGTCTTCCAGTTGCAATGCTCATTGTTCATTAGAATTCAGTTTATCAATCTTTGAGAATGTGTTCTTATTATTATATTATTTGAAAATGGTTGTAGAACATTTAATCACAGTAATTTATGGGAATTTATTGTCCAGAAAAATGTATTGTGACAGGCCTCCCTTAAATTGATGCATAAATTAATTGGCATTTTGTCCATGTATAAAATTAAGCATATAAGCTATATATGTGTGAAACAATAACAAATCAATTAATAAAAATTCAAATGCATCCTGATTTTCAAATGTTGTCTTGCAATTGTCATTATATTTAAGGTTGCCATGGTTGCAGAAATTGGAGGAGCATCCTTGGATGACGCAATACGGCGGGCTATGCGATTCCTGATGTCCCATGAATTAGCAGTCCAGTTCAATCTGTTTGGCCGACATGGGAAACACCAGTTCCGGGACCTGCGTCTCTTTGATGTTGTGTATGGTAAATATCAGTTTTTATGGTCAGAGTAACTTTTCTTTTCACTTTTTTTCCTTAAACATTTGTTAATTTATTTTGTTTGTCATAGCCTTTTGTTTATTTGTAGTAATCTTTTGGGTTTTATTCACATAGTGTTCTTTCACTCAAGAACTTTTGATAGCTGACAAAAATTTTAAATGATATTTGTATTTCAGACGATACAAAATAACTGTAGAACCTTTCTTATATCAGTATAAGACAGATATAGATGGATATTTTCAATTTGAACTAAGAATCTAGTGTGTGTTCATAATAATAAAGACTCAAGTGCTTTTATTGTGGCAGATCTTTGCAAGCATGTTTGCCCAATGAAGGGGAAAAGGCAAATGTCATGAATGTTACATTGTACTAAAGTAAAATACTAATACAATTTTTACCTTTGCTTGTTATTTTAGGGGCACTTAAAAGAAATGGTTCCATCGTTGGACTCACACATAAAGATGTGGAAAAGGCACTCTCCAAGTGGTTCACTGGAGCCCGGGACAGAGGTGGGAATAGGAGAGTTAGAGCAAGTAGGGAGGCTGCCTGTTCTCACTCTGGTGGGCAGGTTTTCCAAGAAGGACAGTTACAATAATATGCGAGCTTTCAAGTGTAAGCATGCATGTAGGTTATTCTAAAAGGTTTTTTGAAAGGTGTGTGCATGTAACGGTAAACAAGTTTGTTGTTCAAAAATGCCATGTGAACAATTTTGTAGATTTTTTTTTTTTTTTTTTTTAGGAGCACAATTTACAATTTTGTAGATTTTTAAAAAAAAATTTATTTAGTTGTTTAAGAGCACAATTTACAATTTTGTAGATTTTTTTATTTTTTATTTTGTTGTTGTTTAAGAGCACAATTTACAATTTTGTATATTTTTTTCATTTTTATTTTGTTGTTGTTTAAGAGCACAATTTACAATTTTGTAGATTTTTTTTTTGTTTTTATTTTGTTGTTTAAGAGCGCAATTTGTGCTTGTGGCACCGTTTGCTTTGTTAACTGAGTTCTAATAATTGCTGAGGTATAAAATAACTTCTGATTACAAAATAAAAAGCCTTGACCAAAGGAAATTTCTTTTTTTTTCCCTCTTTAAACAAATTTTGTGATAAAGCGTTTGTTTGTTTAAGACTGCATATCTATGAATGTTATTCATTTCAAGGTTAGGTGACAACAACCCTATTGTTCCTATAAGGATTAATGCATCTGGCTCCCACTGAAAACCCAGTCAGGGCCTAAATGTGGAACTACTCATTTGTTACTCATATTCTAGCCCAGTTCAGACCCAATTGGGACCCACATAAATATACCTGAACGTACCCTAGTGGGCCACAGGTGGGCCTCATGTAAGTTAACCATCTGGGCCCCACTGAAAACCCAGTCAGAGCCCATTAAAATCTACCTGGGCAAACCCATGTGGGGCCACCATGGAACCCGTGGACAAACCCTTTTGGGACCCATATTGACAGCCCTCTTTTATCCCATATGGGGCCCACCTAGGTGTGCTGGCTGGGTTGTTTTTACAGAAAAAACTGGCAGCTGTGGTTACCAGAATAATTCTGTAAAAAATACAGTACAGATGTAAACAACTTTACAGAAAAACTTGTACATTTTACATCCTAAAATGGTATTTTAATTAACAAAAAATAAATTTTAAAGTTGTAGATTATACAGTACTGTACTGCTCATTTAACAGGACAATGCTGCTTTTATACTGATTATTTATGCAAAATTTACATGCAGATTTTCCTTTATTTTACATAGAATACTAGTAAAATTAACATCCAGTTATCGTTTATTTTACATTGAATACTAGTAAAATTAACATCCAGTTATCGTTTATTTTACATTGAATACTAGTAAAATTAACATCCGGTTATCGTTTATTTTACATTGAATACTAGTAAAATTAACATCCAGTTATCGTTTATT